AGGAGACTTCTTTTGGGGGAAAAACAGTAACTATCTGTTAAATATGACTTTGTAATTTGGATTATTCATAAACTCAGTTGCTTCTTCAGCTAAAAGACAGTGGAGTACAGACATTTTTTTCAACAGCATAAAGAAATATATAGACACCTGACATCACTTTTGTGTGAGATTCTCCTTTTATAATACAAGAATGTATGCCCCAGGATATCAGACAGACAAGGTGGATGAGGTAATATTGGACCAACAGAAGTCTGTCCAATGAAAGATACTACCTCACTGACCCTGTTTCTGTAATAAACAAATGTCAGATTACTATCATTATTCAAGATATCAGCTATCAAAATCCTTATTACTACTGGATGTGAGATTGTCTGTGTGCCTTACAACCTTGTGTGTCAATCAAATATCCAATCCTGAATGACTGTGCTGTGAGATCCGTGTATGACAAAAGCATTTCACTGGTAGGAATAGATTTGAAGATCAACATTATCAAAACAAAATTCTGCCTTTTATATTTAAAGCAGATAATGAAGTTTTCACACATGCTGAGTTGCACCTGTGATACCACTGAGATTTTTGAAGTTTATCTAACATTAGACATGTATCCCAATCTCAGAATTTGCATCCTGATTTTGAAGAAGTGTGGCTTTGTTTTGGTCCATTATAGAGATAAGGATCAGGTCTGAACTCAGATCTTAACTGCATTCTGATCTGAACACCCACCCTTCAGATCCAGGGGATTTGTTTAGGCCTATTTGTATGTTAGACCTCCCACTTTAAACTCTCAGTTTAACTTCACTATTAAAAAACATTTAAATTTAAAATCTAGTCTAAATAGGTGCACTGGAAAATCAGGGAGAGGGGAGAACATACGTTTCAGGGGACTAGTGTGGGAGGGAAAGCCCTTCACCTCTGTAGGTACCTGCTTTAAAACCAATCCTAGTCCATGTGACCAAAAAGCGACATCAAAGGTGTGTAGTAGCCTGTATGAAATGAGCGATGATTGAAGTATTGTTACAACAGGTGTCCAGAAAACCACCACAATACTTTACAGTACTTAGCAGTCTAAGCACAGAGTAAATATTGAATGAGCATGGAAACTGAATCAACCCCTGACCTCAAAATTAGTTAGATCAGAATTGAGTTACATTAGAAGAGCAGTGTGGGGAAGGTCTGCACAACAGGGGCCCATTCTGTATCTCTTATGAAGACAAATGGATGATGACAGACTCCAGAGTGATCCATCCAAGATCTTTCAAAATCCTTACATTCACTATAAACACATTTGTATTTAATTTTTAACTGTCATAGACCTGTGGATCCCAGGAATGTTTAAGAACAGAGCAAAAAGGAGTGGGGGATGGGGGGGGAGAGAATGAAAGATGTGAACAGAAGGGTGCAAACAGAAGCTCTTTTAAATTCTGGGTACACAAAGAGTCCGTGGAAGGAGGTAGACCAGCAAGAGATGCCTGGGGAATTGGAGAAGAGCAGCAGAAACAGCTTTTTCACTACACTGACTCCTTTGTAAACCACTTTGAGGTCTACTCATGAAAAGCACTATATAAGAGTGAGGTATTATTTCAGATCATATAACATGCAGTTTGATTCATTCATGGAGTACACTGGACTCTGCCTCAGCAGCAGAAAGTTCACCCAGATATGGGTTTGAGGAAGCAAGAGACTTCTGCAACCTCTGCACCACTTGGGGACCTTTGGCCAGCCAAACCAGCCCCAGAAATGGATGGTTCAGACCAGGGAAGTGATGTGGCTATGTTGCTCAGAGAAAATGCTGATTAAGCCTCTTCCCATGGGATTCCTATGGTGCCTCAAAAGCAGTTTAAAGCCACCACCCCATTGTGGAAACCTCGGGAGAGGGCAAAAGCACAAACCCTGCTTGTTTTCTCCCATAACATACTGCTATAGGTCGCTACTGTCACTTCCGGTACCCCCCACTGCCAGTGTAGGTTAATCAAGTCAGTAGATGTTACAAGTGTACAGATTATTGAGAGAAAACCTCAACCTATTTTAAAAGGCTGTAAAAATCTCAAGGGGTTGGTAACACAACAATCTGTATTTCTTTGTCCTTTCCTCTATCTTCTGATAGTGACAATAACACCACTAAAAGAAGGTATAGGGGAATAAGCCAGATCAGCTAGTGGCATGCCTCCTAAATAGGGAAATGGACAGAAACATCACCACAATAAAAGGAAAGGAGGGGGAAATGTTATATCATTAATAGAAGGAATACAAACAACAGTTTAATGCATCCAAAGAAGTGGGCTGTAGCCCACGAAAGCTTATGCTCTAATAAATTTGTTAGTCTCTAAGGTGCCACAAGTACTCCTGTTCTTTTAACAGTTTAATGGACTTTTACCACTGTTTCCATGGGCATCTGTGGGGACACATGCATTCTGTGGGATATCTAACTACTGAAGAAGCATAAAAAGTGTGCAGAATTGGAAAAACTGATTTATTTTTATGAAAAAAACATGAGACTCAGTATGTCTTCTCACCTGGTATGTTACCTGCCAGGTGGGAAGGAATTATTTTTTTTCTTGAAACAAGACAAGCAATGCAATGACTGAGGGGAAGTCACTAAGGATAAACTATCGAGAACTAACATCACTAGTAGGCAATTAATGTAAATCACTAGACAGGCAAATAAAAGTACTGCCCCAAGGGGGAAATTGCATATCCTGGTTTTCACCAGGTTCAAAAGGCCCAACAAACACAGAACTAAGACTTGTATAAAATGGGCAGCCTGCTACAGAGATGGGGTCACTCTCACTCTATACAAGTACTGATTTGACTCTGGGACCAAGTAGGACCGACCTTACAAAAGGGGTTTGAAGGACTTTGAAACCTACCAGGGTTTTCATGTGGAAAATGACACCTGGAAAGGCACTTGCATATAAGCTGTTTATTGTTTTCAAGATATGTTTTCTTTGGAGTGCTTTTGTTCTAAATAAAATACTTTGCTTTATGAAGGCTGGTTGGTTAACCCTGGTGTAGCCCCTGGGAAAGAACAGGACAGCGAGTGCCGAACTAAACACGGTGAATGGCAGGAGCAACTGCAGTCTATACTCTAGCTGCAAGGAGGGGACTGCTAGTTCCCATACCGAGAAGCACATCGCTCGCCCGCGCCGCTTCCTACCACCCCCATTGGCCCGGGACGGTGAACCGCGGCCAGTGGGGGCTGCTTTCGGCCGAACCTGCCGCGTCAGCATGTAAATAAAACTGGCTCGGCCCGCCAGGGTGCTTACCATGGTGAGCCGCGTGCCGAACGTTGCCGACCCCTGCCCTATACCATCATAAGCACAGGTATGAGCAGCGTGCACACTCCCATTGTGCACCCTGAAGCTCCAGAATGGCTTGTACCTTTCTGAGGCATGATCCCTCCTGGGTTCCCCCAGCGTGGTACTGCCCTGTGCTGCACCCAGTATTGTGCTGTGCCTACAAACCACCCTTTGGCCCTGTATATGGCATCCTCAGATGGAAGGTGCTATAGAAGTGCACAGTATTATTGTTGTTAAATATCTCTGGTTAATAAGCTGTACAAGAACAAAAAACATTTAAACATGTACAGTATACTACAGTACGTGTCTCTTATTGCAAGAATTTTCAACCAAAAAATTCAATTGGTTTAACATTCTTGTTGCCTTTAATGGCTGCTTAATTATGCTGATGTCCCTTGAATCCTCCATTGTGTGAATTTCCTTGAATTGCCACTGCAGTGACTGGTATAGGATAAGGCAGGATTGCTCATGTTTACATTCTATTTCGCAGTAGTTGTTTCCTCTCCCAGGAGAAAAAAAGCCAGAGCATAGAAAAAAACAAAAACAAAAATCGGACCTCACAAGAGGACTGGAAAAAGAATTTAAGGAATATCTGTTTAGATACAATACTGACTACTCTCTGACAAGCTTTATTGCAAATGGGAATTATTATTATTTATTCAGTGGCAGCTGTGAGTGCTCAGCAGTGGTCAGGATAAGGTCCAAGGCCCACCAAATTGTCATGACCTTTTACACCAGTAGAGGATCTGCCCGGAGGTAAAATGCTATTTCTATTCAAGTCAATGGCAAAGACAATCACAATTACACCCTAGCTTTTCAAAAACTCATCTCCCATTTTGGCACCAAAATAAATTGCCAGCATTTGCAAATTGGATTCTGAGCTCTTTGGAAAAGTCTCACAATTGGAGCGACTAAGCCTTTTCAATTCTGAGTGTTTTTGAAAATCTGGCCCAGCCAATCCAAAGTATATCATTGCTAATTATCATAACTATTATTATTCCATATCAATCAACATACTGTTTTAATATCTGCTTCATATTATGAATACCTTCCCTGAGAAGCCCAAAGTAATTCCTGCAGTTCATTCAACACCCAGGAATTCCCCTCCCCCCAAATGATCAGGACCTGCACTGTGAAGGCAGTGAGCTTTATTTGCCTTATAAGGAGAAAGACCATATTCTACCTGCTTTGGTCCTCAGCGGTCTCTCTTTCCAGTTAGTTTTCCAGAACGCTGCATCCTTATTCTAGGCTGCCTTTAAACCAGGGACACAAAGGGCAAAGGCTCCTGAGATATAGCCCATGCCCTCACTTTAGAAAAGATTCGGAGTCTTGGGTGACAGTCCAACAGCCATTCAGTAAAAACCAATTGACTTTGGCATCCTGGACAGGAAACTAGGGACTCCCATCTACAGCCCAAGGCCTGGTGGGAGAGGGTCCTGTTGGTAGCTCCAGACCCTGCCTGCAAGGGACGCTGACTGAAGTGACCGTGGAGCAGGCTGACAGACAGGCACCTTCACTCGGGGAGGGACCAAGCCTGACATCGGGGGGTTCCCTGGCTAGGAGGACCCGGCCCAACAACAGCCAGAGCCCAGCGCTAGTGCGAGCCCCCCGCTTCCCCCGCCAGCCCCTGCCCGGGCTAAGCCCAGGGACCCGCCGGGGAAGGGGACAGCGACGCGCGGGAGCCAGCGACCCGGCTGCCTTTACCTCCATGCCCAGCTTCTGCTTGAGCACCAGGGCGGCGCACAGGTAGCCGGCCCGGCCCACGAAGAGCTCGTCGGAGCCGCACTCCAGGAAGGTGACGGGGGCGCAGATCTGGCTCAGCTCCCGGAACCGGCCCAGCAGCCGGCCGAAGTCGGGCAGCCCCAGGGCTTGGTAGACCAGCGCGGCCACCGCGTAGACCCCGGCCCCGCCGAGCAGGAAGGCGGCCCGCGTGTCAACGTCCGGCTCGCCCCACTCCTCCTCGTAGCGCACGCAGGCGTCGACGAGGCGCCGGGCCGCCAGCAGGTAGGTGTCCCGGGCCGGGGCCAGGAGCGGGCAGCGCGCGGCGTGGTACAGCATGTAGGCCACCCCGGCCAGCCCGCCGTACAGGCCGCCCCCCGCCGCCGCCGCCGCGCCGCCCTCCAGCGGGGGCACCTGCTGCAGGATGCGCTCGATGGTGGAGGCGACCCAGGGCACCACCGCCTCGTGGCGCTGCCCGGCCGGCAGGCTGCCCGCGTAGTCATCGAAGCGGTTGGCGAAGCAGCGCTTGCTCTCCATGCCCCCGCCGGGCCGGGCTGCAAAGGGGGCGCAGGGACGCGGCTTCCGCTTCAGTGCCTTGGAGGAGCTGGGCGAGCAGCCCGCGGCGGCTGCACCGAAATCGGAGCGGGGGTTTGATTAAGAGTAAAAGCCCGTCCCCGCAGCGTAGCGTTGCTCCCTTCGCGAGCCGATTGCCGGGGCTGGCTCCAGCCTTGGTTTAAATGGCTCAGAGAAACCCCGCCGCTGCCTACTGCTGCTGCTCGCCCAGAGAGAGAATCTGCGCTAGCAGGAGGCCGCCTCGCCCCGGCCCCGCCAACCTGCTGTCGTCCTTGGCTGCAGATGCGGCTGTCAAGCGGGAGGGCGCATCACTTGCCGGAGCCTCGCTCCGCACCCCTAGCGGAGGGCGGGCGAGGAGAGAGGAGGGAGGCCAGTGGAAGGCTGCAGCCCCTAGCTGGTCCCGCTCAGCGCTTCCCCACGACCGGCAAAGAAAGGGGAGCGCGAGGGTGTCTTGGATTGATCCAGCCCTACAGCTTGGCTAACGCAAATGCAGGAGGATGGCCATTCTTTTCTTCTTTCCTGCTCCCAACAGGCCTGTGGATAATCCTGGTGTTTTCCCTTGTGTCTCCGCCCGCAGAGACAATGGTTGCCAACTCGGGTTTGGACCTATTCCTGGAGGTTTCATCAAATGACATAATCTTTAATTAAAGGTTAATCTTTAATTCCTGGAGACCATAGGACAATCCTGGAGGGTTGGCAATCCTAGCAGAGGCACGGTGGATCTCCCTCATGGTGGTACTGCAGGGGCAAGAAGGTTCTGGGCTGGGCTCTGTTCTTTGCCCACTGCAGCTGTCTAAAGGGACTGTAAGCCAGCAGAAACAGCTCCCAGGGAATTCCCCTAAGGGGGTTCCCTGCAGTCTCCATTACCCCTCCTTATAACCTCTAGCCTTGGGGTGTGTGCCAAGGAAGGGGTGAGTGGTCAGAGTGCAACTGAGCTGCAGCCAGAGGTGAAAGTAAGCCAGTACGGTCCGGTACGGTGTACCAGCAAGAGCCAGTACGCCGTGCCGGACTGCACCGGCTTCCATGGCCGGGATTAAAAGGGCTCTGCGCTCCCCGCCGCTGCGGAGAGCCAAGAGCCCTTTAAATCCCGGCCCCAGCCTGGCAAGGCTCGGGGCTCCCCGCAGCTGCGGGAGCCCCGAGCCCTTTAAATCCCAGCTGGAGCTGCAGTGGGGATTTAAAGGGCCCAGAGCTCTGCGGCAGCCGGAGCCCTGGGCCCTTTAATTTGCCCATGAGCCCCGGGGGCTCCCAGCCACCTCTGCAGCTGGGAGCCCCGAGTTGATTTAAAGGCCCTGAGGTTCCCAGCCACAGCCCCAAGGCCTTTAAATCTTGAGAGGCCCCACCTCTTCCAGTTGAGGCCCCGCCTTTTCCGGATGAGACCACGCCCCCCTCAGGAGTCTACAGTACCCGTAAATTCTGTAAGTTACTTTCACCCCTGGCTGCAGCTGTTCTTGGCTATGGAACAGCCCTTAAGGGGCCATTGCAGCCAAACATAAATTAGAGCATATTGGAAGCCAAGCAGGCATCCAGCAGAACAGAAGGTAGAGAGGAGATGCAAATGTGGCAAAAGCCCCCATTGACCCTCATTTCCTCATTCCTGCGCCATGCAGAGTTTGGGAGGAACAGAGATGTTGACCTATTTTCAATGGAGTAACTCATCCTGATTTACACCAATACTGTAGAGATTCCAAGTTTTAAAAATATAGCTCTCAACAGCTGTAGTACCAAATACTATATATGGTCAGGGCCATATCTTTCCTTTCCTATGTAAAGTTGCACAACATGAATGCACTTACCTTCAATGATATGTGACTTCTGTCCTCCTATTGATCTCCCATGCAGAAGGTGGGGCTAGTGATGGCATGGAATGATCGTAGTCTGTGGTCTCTGTTCCACACGGAAAGCCGAGCCTATGTCTACTTCAGTATGGGCACTACTACAGCAGCATACCAATGTTGCTATAACCCCGTAGCATAGACACGGACTACAGTGACAGGGGTTTTTCCATTGCTGTAGGAACTCCACCTACCCAAGCAATGGTAGCCAGACATAGCTGTGGCACTCAGGGGCATGGATTTTTCACACCCCTGAGTGCTGTAGCTATATTAACTGAAGTTTTATGTGTAGACCAGGCCTGAGATAAGAGCAGCTGCAGAAGCAGCCAAAGGAAAGACTGTTGCATTAGGAAGACAGTGTAAAATGGAGCCCCGCTGGGGCCACCCCAGCCCTCACCACTCTTGGACCCAGAACTGTGCAGGGGAGACCCCCCTACCCCCACACACACATGCGCTGGGGAAGCTACAGCCTGGATGGTATCTCCCTTCCCTCCTGCCATGGGGCCTGCAGAAGCAGCCAAAGCAGGGACTTTCACACATTCAAAGAACTTCCTACCGTTTTTATGGGAATTTCTCTACCCTGTGCGGATTGGCCATTTCCTACAACCCTCCCCATACTCCTCCCTCACAGTCTCCTCATCTCAGTTTCACTCCACATCTGCCCCTCTTCTCACCTGCCCTGTCCCTCTCACCCTTCTCCTCTTACATGCCCCCTTTTCCTTCCCTTTTATTTCCATTTAGCTGATCCCCCACTAGCCAAACCAACCACCACCACCCCAAATCGCGGAATTAACATGTTGTTTACTGCCATCACATTGTTGCAGTGGTGCCAGTTAGGGTGAAGGGCTGGCTGGGGAGGGAATTTCCTCCCCCTGCCAAGAAAGCGGGGTTGGTTAAGATTAAGTGGTTGATTAAGTGAATTGGCACCACTGCTCTAAGGGTTTCATTCCTGGCACTGGTAGCAAGGCTGTCTCAGATGCTGTCATGTTGTCATTTGCTGCATTCTGCAAGTCCTTTTATGAGGTTCAGCGTATGTAACCTAAGTTATTGGTGATCAAAGCTATGTTAACCAATGCAGGTTTTTCCAGCATAATTTCTGCTGGCTGAAGAGGGGAACGTATAAGGTATAGTGAAGCAGAATCAGGGCCCGTGTCTTTTTTTCTTTTTTTAAAATATCCTATCAGGAAAGGACAATGCCAAAGTTATTTGGCTTCTAACATTTACCAACAAGAGTTTGTTTTAAATCTCACTAAGTTTTTTAAGGTTTATTCATTCTCCAAAGTTCATGGAGATTTTCATAATTCAGATATCAACTAATAACATACAAATCAGAGTATATTTTGTAGTGGGTCATCTCTTTTAGATTCATTTTTGGTAAGTATGATGACAACAAAAGGTGACATCAATCACATACTAATATAAGCTAATAAAGACACTTGTTCTGAATGTCATTTCTGAAAACAGAAATTATATTGTTCTGATAGTACATGGTTCATGCTGCTTTTAGCTTTACTAGACTTTTGTTTATATGTACTTACTGCAATTCCTAAATATAAATAGTCTCAGTATTGCCAACCTCAAGCATTAAAAAATCACGAGATTGGCTTAAATAGCATGAGTTCTTTTTAAAAAATAAAATGTGTAGGTTTTTTTTTTTTAAATTGTCTTCTGGTTTCTGAGACTTTCGGCTGTACTTGCTTCACCTTTTCAAGCTTTGTCCCTACAGGATCTCTATCAAGCATTCTTAAAACTACAATACCCACCTGGTGAAGTGAAGAAACAGATTGACTGACCTCACACTTGGTAAAGCACCCCCATCCTTTCATGTATTTATACCTGCTCCTGTATTTTTCACTCCATGCATCTGATGAAATGGGTTCTAGCCCACGAAAGCTTATGCCCAAATAAATTTGTTAGTCTCTAAGGGGCCACAAGGACTCCTCATTGTTTTTACTTGATAAACTGGGTGCAAGCAAGCAAGCAAGCTGTTTTAATATAGCTAAATGAAATTGTGTATGTCTAGGAACAAAGAACATAGGCCATACTTGCAGGATGGGAGGGGGTCCTGGTGAATCAGTTGAACGTTGAACTCCCAGTGCAATGTTGTGGCCAAAAAGTCTAATGCAACCTTGGCTGTATAAACAGGAGAATCTTGATAGCAGGTTATTTTATCTCTGCATTTAGCGCTGATGCCATGGGTGCTAGAATACCATGTCCAGTTCTGGTGTCCCCAGTTTGAGAAAGTTGTTGATAAATTGGAGAGGGTTCAGACAAGAGCCACAAGAATGATTAAAGGATTTGAAAACATGCCTTAGAATAACAGACTCAAGGTGCTCAATTTATTTAGCTTAACAAAGAGAAGGTTGAGGGGTAACTTGATTACAGTCTATAAGTAGCTACATCCAGAACAAATGTTTAATAATCAGCTCTTCAATCCAGCAGAGAGAGGCATAATACGATCCAGTGGCTGGGAGTTGAAGCTAGACAAATTCAAACCGGAAATAAGGTGTAAATTTTTGACAGGGAGGATAATTAGCCACAGGAACAGTTTACCATGAGTCGTGGTGGATTCTCTATCACTCGTGATTTTTAAATCAAAATTGGATATTTTTCTAAAAGATACATTCACATTGCACTGTTGTAGCTGGCGTAGCAAGATATTTACCTGCCAGATGCACTAAAGATTCATCACCATTCCAGAGGACATGTGTCCATGCTGATGACAGGTTCTGCTCGATAACAATCCAAAGCAGTGCAGACCAATGCATGTTCATTTTCATTATCTGAGTCAGATGCCACCAGCAGAAGGTTGATTTTCTTTTTTGGTGGTTCAGGTTCTGTAGTTTCCACATCAGAGTATTGCTCTTTTAAGACTTCTGAAAGCATGCACCACACCTCAGCCCTCTGAGATTTTGGAAGGCACTTCAGATTCTTTAACCTTGGGTCGAGTGTTGTAGCTATCTTTAGAAATCTCAAATCTTTGCGTTTTGTCAAATCTGCAGTGAAAAACTGTTCTTAAAATGAACAACATGTGCTGGGTCATCATCCAGGACTGCTATAACATGAAATAGACCTCCACCCCCATATAACGCTGTCCTCGGGAGCCAAAAAATCTTACCGTGTTATAGGTGA